AAATGAAATTTCCAATAGTGGTTAATTAACAAATTTACGATAGTTTCGCGTGCGGTCTGTCCTCCTATTTACAAGAACTTAACAGTTGGGCCATCGAATCGTCTAGATTGTTGTAAATCCACTCGACTTCGTCTCATGGATCTATAACAATCTAGACGATGAGATGATCCCAGTTGTGGTAAATAAGAGGACATACCACGCGAAACTATCGTGAATTTGTTTTTTACCCCAAATAACTGTTTTACCAGTACTGCGCGCGTTTTGCAAGCTAAAAGAACAACTGAAATCTCATTTCAAACCAAACCAAATAATTTATTCAACAAATCATGGTACATACTTTTTTCGCTTTGTCTGCCCAGTCAGGAATTGAATTCTCAATGACAGAAAAGTGGAGAAAGTCTATCGTTTTTCTTTAAAGTATCAAAGTTAATCGCGAGAGCAAAGATAGCGACCGTGGTATGTACTTTTATTTAACACGGCTCTCGACCAATCAGAAAGCGAGAAAATTATCATATGTGGTAAAAAACTTTTTATGCATTTTGTAGAAATAGTATAATTTTCGCTTTGTTCATTCAGATGTGACCAGTATGGCTGAAACAATATATAGTTTATAGTATAGCCTTTGAATGGATTAGACTGTGGTCAGCACCTGAACACCGTCGAACAACAGTCAGGATTTTTTTGATAGATTTCGCGCATTTACAAATAGTTCCTCTAGCTAATGCTCTACTTTGTTTTTGTATGCTCTAAAAGGGTATAAATGTCATATTTTACTAATGCGATTAAAAAAAGAAAAAAGGAAATAATAAAAATAGAAAGAGAGATGACGTCATTGAAAGACAAGAATTGTTTACAATGGTTATGTTTGGAAGCAAAACAAACAGCAGCTGGCTATCGGGTGTGTCATGAGCTATCTATATTAATCTATAGTTATATTGTTCTTCGTATTWGGCAGCAAACATGGGGAAACCCCCTATCTATTACCTGGGTCAACTGGGGGATGCCCCTGGTTTAAGTYATAAGCACTTATTAAAAAAAATCGCTTTCTGGCAGATTTTCTGAATGGGTGTGAGATAAAAATTAACAAAATATCGGAAGCAGGCATGATTGGAATCCTTCTTGGAAGTTGGTGTGACATATTGTCTGAGGAAGCAATTTTTGCATTCGTCTGCCGCCACAAATATATGTTACGAACCAAAAATTACGTCCCGCGCGCTAGCAACCTTTGGCGGTTCTAAATTAGGCACAAAATTCTGTTTATTATCCTTTCCTTGATTACATAACGATTGACAGTCATGTTTTCTATACGCGCACACAACATGTATAGTTCATTTATACACAAATCTACGGCACAACTTTACTTTTACATGCGGAGTTAATTGCATTTTATTCTATTTTATGTTTCAGAAAACTTTCACAAATTGAATACTTGATTTCTAAATGACTTCTCCAAAATATATACAGTTATAGAAATAAAAGAAAGGAATTATAGTGCTTAATTAGAAGGAGAATATTAATCTTCCTTGTTTCAGTTTGACCTTGTAGCTCAGCTGGCAAAGCATCGGTAGTACAAATCCGAGGGTCGTGGGTTCGAGTCCCAGCGAGGAAGGAAATTAATTTTTCCGAATTTATCTCCAAGGGTCTTACTCCCGAGAAATCTTCTTCTAATTAAGCACTCGTCCTTTCCTTTATTTCTATATCATATTCACCATACTGTCATGCGGTCCTAATATTCATATAGAAAAAGTTAGCCGAGGAGGAGAACTCGAGCGATAATAGTACATAAACTCAGTGTACTAAGATATAGCTATTTCAACAAAGGTTGTCGGATAAAATGGCAAATGCTAATGGTCGAACGGCGATTGCACGACCGAAAGTAGTCATGGTTTTTGCTAGTTGAAAGGAAATAACAACTGATTTATACTGTAAGATAGTCTGTGGTAAACAATGGCTACATTTAGTATCCATTTCAATGTAAGGTGAATCGCATTAGGTGAAACTTTGTAACCATAGTCCCTTTCGGTCATGCMATCTCCYTTCGACAATCGCCGTTCGCCGTTCTCCCCGACAACATTTATTGAAATTTATACTGATTGTTGGTCTTCCCTCGTGTGAAAAAGGTTGGCTTGTTAAGATGTTGTTCTGAAATAAAATGATTTCATTCCATTTCTTGAGTAAATTAGTTGCCATCATTTTGGTAAAATGTGTCACAATCCGGATTTTGCATGGGCAAGCGAGACTTTTTAATAGACCACCTCGACTTGGACTCTCTCTAATATGTGTTAGGTGTGAACGTATTCTTGCTACAGTATATTCTCTCCTATTTTCCTTTTTTTTACAAGTTATTTAACACCAGTAATCAGAATATTAACAAAGTATGACAATTGTGGACTCAAACGAAAAAAAGCTCTATAAAAAAAATTGATAACAAATAAAAACCTGAAATATCAAGAGTTGAACTTCAGGGTGCGACTGAATTCAGATGAGCTAGAAGAACAAAACCGGATGTTTATAACTGATATCGCATATTGTTCTTTCTTGGCGGTTTTCAAAGCAAAGGTGGGGAAAACCCCGTGCAAATACACTTAACTATCAGCTTGGGAAAGCCCCTGTATTAAATTAAAAACATTCGCATTTCAGCAGATTTTCTGAATATGAGTGAGATATAACAAATTCTAAACAAATCAAGACTTGGGCCTTTCTACTTGTGTTCGGATGATCTTTTCCAATCCTTCATGCATTAATGACCAACATGTGTTAAAACAACAACACCACCAAACTGATTCCATTCCGCAGACGAAGCGTTTTGAAAGAGCCAATAATGCCATCAATTAATGATTCTGCACTTCGAGAATTACGGCCAGCCGTAACGTTTGGCGGCAACATTCGCAATGGATGGTGACGTTAAACATAAAAAAACTGTTCATTATCCTTTCCTTGAATACACAACGAATGACAAACACTGAATGAAGCCTGATTTGAACGATTTGTTTATTTTATTCATCCAACATACAAAGTTTATTAAAACATTGTACATTTGTTGTATATACTTCTTCGTACTGAATCCTACAATCTTATGCAAAATAAACGGAACACCTCGCCCCCCGCCCCTTTTCCCGGTAAATTGTTGGACCGTTCATCCAGGACGATTTTTAAGCGATTCCTTCTTCAACTAAGCGAAAACCAACATTGCACACAGGGAGGGGAGGTTGTAGTAACACACCCATGGAGGGTGTTACACGTTATTTTGCAATAGATTGTACATGTAGATAACTAAATATCTCTAACAAGTGAGGTACACTTATACAGTCAACTCTCACTACATATAGGGATACCTCGAGATTAGCGACAGTGTCCAGTGACTCAACGAAAAGTCGGTAAAATATAGGTGTCTGAGGGTTGAGGTGGAAGTTGATTATATATAGATGTTTGCTCATATTATATAAAAAAAAAACACTCTTTCTATATTTATGTGTATATTACACGGGCTTCAGCCCTGAAAACTGATCAAGTCTAAGTTTCACTTTCTACAAAAATATCCCCCCCTGAGACGAGACGGAAGGTAAATTTCAGAGAGGATGGATTAATTTATACATTCAATTCTGAATAAAGGTCCAATATTTTTTTAGTATATACGCTCTACTAAATCTTTTACAAACCAATGAAATCATTCTTTCACGTTTAATCTATGCGTCTGATAATTACATAGAAGATTTTGCACTGTGTCTAACGGTGCTAACATCACCATTTGAATATAATCAACATGCGTTAATTTACAGCCAACATTAATCAAGATAAGTCAAAAAGCTAAACCAAGCAGACCTTATTTGACTACAGGAAATCGTAATGCTCTTTGCGACGCTATGCAATGTTTGGCGAGGTGCATTATGGGATTGAAGAAAGTATTTTTTTGTATGTGGGCCTGTCGTGCGAAACAATACTTAAACTTGCGTATTGGTGTGACTKTTCTTTTGGCATACTAAATAGTGTATGTACAGACATCTGAGTATTCAGGATTGGTATCGGTTATCTTAGGCACTTCGATGGCAGGTAATGCTCTTCGCATCTTCCATCTTGATACTTTCAATAATCCCGACATGCACCTCTCGACACACAAACATGATGTCATTAGGGGAAGGATAAATCACTGGTGCATTTACAGTTGAATGTTTCGTTGATTAAAAAACCCGTTAGGTATGAAATATAGGATGTACTATATACTATAATCTACAGTCCCAATAACAACTGTTCTGTGTTTGTGGGGCTTTACGGAGCTGTACACTACTGTTAGAATAAAAATTGTGATTGATGAAACAACAAAGAGAGACATGCAATACAAAAAATGAATATTTCCTTAAAAAAATTGACAATTGACAATTAACAATCAGACATTGTCTGATATAATCCTACAATTCTTTGCATTCGATCAATCACAAGTTTCGTTCCGGACGATAGTGGTCGACCCGCTTTATGACGATTCGTTGTTCGTGATACCCTTAAGAATCTCACTAGCACTCTCTGGTGTCAGAGGAGGAGGAGCCTGAGCGGTGCTCTGGTAATCATACATGAACAGGTAATCTTCAGTATGTATGCTGGGCTTTAGAATAGTAAGAGATTTTGATCTTGGATCGTTAGAAAGTGGTGACCTATTAAGATGTTGTTCTGAAATGAAAGAATTTGTGGTTAAATTCATTAGTGAATTAAAAAAAACTTGATTTGCAAACTTCATGTAATGTAATCAAGTCTTCATTATTCATGATTATAAGCTATGTTGTCGCTGCTATGTTGGATAAAAATACTGACAAAAAAATTATATTTTTATATTTATTATATTGACATGTTACGATTAAAGTTATAATAATTACTCAATTTATAGGTTTCACCATACTATTATTATCTGACAAGCTATCGTTAAAGTTGTTGTTATCATTAGTCCTGCCATTACGAGTGCTGTTAGTTTCGTGGTAAGGAARCAAGTCTCATTTCAGTTGCTGTCTGTCAAATAAGGGCGGTCTGGTACGCCTGGTACCTACTTCCAACTTTTTGGACAAACCCTTAGTTTTTCAGACCGATAMGCTCTTAATGATTTGGGTATTTTTCGCAGGGTTAAAAATAGATCGTATCAATTGTACCTTCATTGTTTACTTCACCATCATACTCGTCATATGATGAGCCGCTAGCGTTAGAAGATGTGTCACTGTCTTGTGACATACTGTCAACCAGCTAAATGAAACAAAAAACCTTGAACATTGGCGCAGATCCTCGATCAAAAAACCGAGACATAGTTATATGTTGGAATAGTCGACTAATTGTAAAACAATTGCCCTATCGCATAATTTTTACGTCACAACAAAACATTTGTTTTAACGCTAAGGATTATGGTCCCCAGAGTGGATCCGATCGTGACTGCATATCAAATGGAGTATTCTGTCTTTACTGGTTTGATAAATAAACATTTGTACTTCGTTATTTGTTAAACCACGTGGTGCGGTGCTCTATAAGGCCCACTCCGGGCCAGAAATTCGCCTTAAAAAGGGACATGGTCCACTAGCATGCAATGCGGTCCTGTTTTAGATTTTTCATTTATGGAAAATGAGGTGACTTCGAATATCCATTTGCAATCCGTTTCCATCGGTTTAACGGTCGAATGTTAAAGCATCTCCATTCATATAGGATTAAGGAATAATAAAGAGTAAGTTTTTGCTTATATTACGCTGATGTATTTCTATTTTCAAACATAAACAAAAGCTCGAAAGGGATGCTGGTGGACCATGACCCTTTAAGTCGAAGCAACTCAAAGCAACTTAAGGCGACTTACTAAAAAAATGAGAGTAAATTGGGCGGAGGCGACTTCATGTGGAAATTTGGATGGTAATTAGACTGGGGTCCCTTGGCGTCTTAGGGCGTCTTAAGGTAATTTAAGACGACTTAAGGCAATTTTCTGGCCCGGAATAGGCCTCTCTATAAATATAAGGAATGCGATTTAACTTTCATGTGTGAATGTGTTGAAATTTGTTACATTCAGATGCGTCTTTTAGAAGCATTTAGGCAATTGATATAGAGTTATGCAAACATTGACTAGAGACCAGAGGCTTTTATCTTTGGTTTATTTTATAATCGTATCGACTTGACTTTTGAAAGTGGATTTAATTTCACAAACTATTGCGTCAGCTTGTTGGATATCCCGCTCATAAAACTAGTGTATACATCAAGTAAGCAAATCAATAAAAGGCTTGCTTTCACTTACATCTATGATTTCCTGATCATTTGGGATTTCTTCATCACAAGGTATGGTCTTTTCTATAAAAAAAGAAAAGCTCATATGTCATTAAGGCATGATTCTAAGATAAAATGTATACTAGTGAGAATATATTGTTGTTTTCAATGCATGAAACGAGAAATTGAAGTCACTTGTTGAAAATGTAGGCCAAGCCGCAGTGGCGGATCCAGGATTTTTTAAAGGGGGGTTCCATTTTCTTTTTACATTTTCCTAAAACGACCTTTCTCATAAAAAACGGTATACCGTATCAATCGAGGCACTAGTAGACACAGCCCAATATATGTTCCAATTATAAGAAATAATTGTAGGATGCGTTTTCATTTTATTTATTTTATTTATCTTATTATTTTCATGCTCTAGGGGGGATTTCGTGGAACTCTTGGAACCCCCTCTGGGTCGCTACTGAGCCAAGAGCTGTACTGAGAAGTCTACTAAAGGCAGACTTTGGTAAGGCGTGGCTATCAGGCACGACTCTCTGAGGCGGACCACACCTAATACTTTTTTCCATGGTATAAAAAGAATTTTCTATTTAGTCAGTGCCTCGTTTCAACATGACCTGGCTATTCGACGGTAATTCACGCCTTAAAGTCATTTTCAATCTTTGACATCATGCTCTTACCCTCTTTAACGTTGTTAATGTAGTGATAATCAGTTAGACCAACGACAGCGTCCTGAAAAAAGAAATCAAATCAAAAATGTTCACATGTACCAATTTGGTTTTCAATACGATTTGGTTCGATTCGGTGTACATTTTGTCGAAAGTGCTCAGGATACTTTTCTGTTATGAATACTGAATGCCGTTTTGCAGGATTAGCGACTAACGCGTATTGGCATTTGTTGCCTTGGAGACGAACGTGTGGTCTTAAAGCTCAACAAAACTACATGCTTAACCTAATAATATTGTACATGGTGATTGGTCAACACGTAATTGAAACCAACCTGATCGTAGTTCTGACAACAGTGTCCATGATGGCTGTCCGGGGAGATTGGTTCTTTCTTGATCTCTTGATACGTCATAACACCAATATCTAGAAAAAGATGATATAGTAATGTAAGCTCCCCCGCAGGCTTCTCTTTCATCTCTACAAAGTAATAGGCTTGCTGTGTAGAGTCCCTTCCTTGGCATATTATTTATTTATTTTTATTCTTTTATTTTACCTGGAAAACCCCTCCTCCCCCTCCCCCTCCTTTTCCCCACTTCACCCCTCCCCCAGAGCCACTTCTCAGGCTACAGTAGAGGCCAATGTCTGACATCAACGATTGATGTCTGTGAAAGTGATGTCTGCACATCTTGAGCTGATGATTTCATTTTTTTTTCGGTTATTCTGTATTGCATTTAAGTTGTTTTGTAGAATATCATGACCTTGTTCTGGATGGTGTACTACTGTAACTGCGATTGTACTGCTGTGAAGTTTCATATATCGTGAAAGTTCACTGACGATGACATAACCATAAACGGAATAAAATCAATAGTATACACAACACCCATTTCCTYACCTCTCATTTCCGGTCTAGGGTCACACCACGTGGTCAAGTAGTCATGGTCTTTTACGTGAGGGTGGGGAGAGTAGGCTGTTAAAGTGGGCCAATAAGGAATCAGTGTCTGAGGATGAACAGGGTGAGTAGTGCAGATAGCATGGCGGCTGTCTGAGTTCTGAAACACTGTAGA